AAACTTCTTGGAAATTTTTTGAGGCTCTCTGGGGCATTGGAGCAATTTCCTGTGCTGAGGAAATTGCTAAGGTAGAGCAATTGCTAAGGATGATAAGGTGCCTTATCCATCAGGCGCCCTATCCACCATCATTCTCAAATGTATTGGTGTTGGATACACAAAACCCCAGGAAATAATTTCATTTGATATAACTGATCTAAACATCATTGTAGATAAATTATTGAAAATTTTATGGAAGACATTTATTCTAAATTTTCAAATACAAGTTGCACAAAAAAATTCATTTGTGACAAAAATGCAGGCCTTGGTCCAATTAGCTTACAAATAATAATTTGAAGCACTAGGCCAAGTTTTTGGTGAGTTAAAGGCAAAAGGTCAGTTTAAAATAGACGACTATTGTAGGCATACTCCAAATAGTTTGCTGTATGTTTTTTGAATAGTCACAAGAATCATCAAGACACTTGTAAAATTTCAGCTTGATAGGCAAAATTGTTTAGCCAAAGTGACATTTTGGAAAAAAGCAATGCATTCCTGGGTAAACATTTCTGGTCATAACCGAGGGATCTAGTACAGTCAAATGAGGTAATAAAGGACGCTTTTTTCATTTTTTGTTGATAACTTTTTACCATGAAACATTCCACAAATGAATATGGGCTCATTTAAAGGGTCTTTGTATGGCTAAAAAATTCCATATGCTATTTGCAAGGTGCCAGACGCAAAAGAGAAAAGCATCCTGAATTACCTCTGGGAATTGGATAATTCGGGACACTTGAAATTAAACTCAATTTTAGAACGTTTGAAGCATGCAGAGTGTACTCATCCATTACTAACTGTACTCTGAAGTCCTCCTCTTCCTTTGTAGATGGTGTAGATGTAGAATAAATGACATTTTATGTGATTTGTACGTGTTTTCCTTCATTGATAACACTGTATCTATTTTCAATAACAAAAACTATTTTTTTTCAATTCTATACCTAATACTTCTATTAAAAACCCCTTCCCCCAAAAAATTTCTATGCCATTGCCAAAGACCTGTCCACTGCAAGCTTCATATCAGCAGCTGTACTATAGCATTTTTTCCATAATCTTACAGAGCTGGGCTTGTAATTTTGCCCAATTTTAATTGGGTCAAGTGAATGAATTCACTACCGTCAACTGGGGCTACTCGGGACAATTTCGAATGTTTTTCATTCATAACTTCGTACCATGAAACATTTCATAAACAAGTTTAGGCTCATTTCAAAGCTCTTTGCAAGGGCTATCACATGGCTTCTCCAAAAAAATTCCAGATGCTATTCGTAAGGTGCCAGATGCAAAAAAATTGTCCTGAGTAGCCCCATTGAACGGGGCTACTCGGGACACTTGGAATAAAACTTAATTTTAAAACATTTGAAGCATGCAGAGTGTACTCATCCATTACTAACAGTACTCTGAAGTCCTCCTCTTTCATTGTAGATGATGTAGAGGTAGAATAAATGTCATTTTCTGTAATTTTTACTTGTTTTTCTTTTATTGAAATATTACCATATACATTAATTACCGTATTATTGATGCAATATTCCGTATCCATGAACATGCCATTGAACATTTACAAAACCTTTTCCACTGCAAGCTTCATATCAGCAGCCCTATAGCATTTTTTCTCTATCTGTAAGCTTACAGGATGGCTTGTAATTTTACACCATTTTAATTGGGTTAAGTGAATTTACTATAAAAAAAGATCGTGAAAAACATACCTGAAACAGAAAGGAATGTTTTAGTGACAACCATGATATGTTTTGAAAAAATAAATCATAGTTTAGGTCAATTACTTTTCATTCTATGATGCCTGGTGCACAATTCTATATATGAAATTCTATGCAGAATTTTGTGGTGACTGATGATGCACTAATTTTTCAATACTGTAAGTGAATTTTTTTTGCTGAGCAAGGTAAATGTAATCAATATTCTTTGTTTTTAATCAATTTTTTTCTTAACTGGAGCCTTTGCTAACTGAGGTTCTACTGTAAATGCGATTTTGGGGGTGTCCCGAATAGCCCCGGAGGGGTGTCCCAAGTAGCCCCGCCATGCAAAAATGGCAGACATTTTTTTGGGATTGAGGTATGTAAATACCGCAAATAAAGTTTTCATGCTGACACTTGTCTGCCATTTTTTTCTAAGCGAAATTTTTTAATACAGCAAATATTTTTTTAACTACAGACCTTAGCAGGAGGAACTTTTCAAAATATCATTTTTCAACATTTTTTTCAGGAATTTTTCAAAGCTAGTAAATGTAGTATTTTTTAACTTTTTTTTATACTACCGGTACATAGATAGTAAAAATGTTGATGTTTATGCCACTATATTTAGTTTTGCAATATTCCAATTAGTTTTGCTACTAAAACAGTTTTACGCCGTGTCAGAGGATTGTACCGAGTTACCCCGCCCGTCCTGAGTAGCCCCAGTTGACGGTATAACAAAAAAGATGATACAAAACATGCCTGAATTTGAAAACAATATTTTAGTGACAACCACCATTTTTTTTGGATAAATTAATCATAGTTTAGGTTAATTACTTTCATTCTATGTTGCCTGGTGCACAATTCTATCGATGACATTCTATGCACAATTTTGTGATGACCTATGATGCATTAATTTTAATGTTAAGTGTTAAATTTACTAAAAATTCTTTATTATTAATTTTAATGTTAAGTGTTAAATTTACTGAAAATTTTTTATTGTTAAGTGATTTTTTGTTAACCCGAGTCTTTGCTAACCAAGGTTTAAATGTAAATGCATTTTCAAGGGTGTCCTGTATTATTCCAGGGGGGGAGGAAGGAGGGTGGCCCTTGATACCCGTCTTGCTAAAATGGCTGTCCTTTTGTTCCGGATTGAGGTACACAAATTCCACCAATTAAGTTTAAAGCCAACAACTGACTGCAAGTATTTTTTGAGAAAAGTTTTTAAAGCCGCAGATACTTTTTTAATAAAGATCTTAGCAGAAGTACTTTTCCAAAATATATTTTAATATTTGTTGTGGGATTTTTTAGAGCTAGTAAATGTTTGATTTCTTAACCTACTTTATGCAACATGAATAGGAAATTTTTTGAAGTTTATGTCACAATTTTTAGCTTTGCAAATTTCAATTACGGTAGTTTTGCTGCTATAACATTCTTACTCCATGACAGGACTGTCTTGATTTACCCTGCCCATCCTTTTTTACCCCATTTGATGGCATACAGTTAAATTGGAGATGCAAACCCAAAAACCTCTCTTTTGGGTTTAGCTAATTAATAACCCAAACCAAAGATTGCTGTCTCACTTGAGGCCAAGACAAGACCCAGGATTATTTTTTCATATTTTTTGCTCTTGTTAAATTGCCTTTAGCCAATTTAATGATCTGGCACATTAAATCAGTAATATCCAAGTCTTTGCCAGTGACTCTCTGGGTTCCATTCTGAAAAGTTAGACAAAAGCTACCCCAGGATGCAGAGCTGGTAAATTTATCACCAATTTTTGCATTTGTTGACCAAAAACATTGCCAACACTACCTACTAATAAAAGCACTACAATGAGTTCATTATTGTTCAGAAAGAAGAAACAACAATAACGATCATTGTGATCTGACCTAAATACTATATGCCACACTCAGGATAATGTAGGTTTTTGGGAAATTTTTCCTGTGCATGAATCTTTTGGAGCCATAGGTTGGTGCAGTTTGTGCAAAATAATTTAAATATTTTCTCTTTGCACAGGTGTTCATGCAATCCTGGCCATTGATTATGCATGGCGCAAGAGCAGTTTGTCGAGGAACAGACAAAACACTCAGTATGCCTTTAATTATCCTTCAATAATACCGTCAACCGGGGCTACTTGGGATGGGCAGAGTAACTCGGGACAGTCCTCCGACACGGCATAAAACTGTTTTAGTAACAGACAAAACACTCAGTATGCCTTTAATTATCCTTCAATAATACCGTCAACCGGGGCTACTCGGGATGGGCAGGGTAACTTGGGACAGTCCTCCGACACGGCATAAAACTGTTTTAGTAACAGACAAAACACTCAGTTTACGTTTGAAAGAAGGAATGATAGATGGTTGCAAAAAAATCTATTTATGTATTAAGTTCAACCAGTAAAGTAGGTTCCATGTACTGCCTCTTAACATCAACGCAACAATTATTGTACGCAGGAGCAGCAAGGAGGCGTCACAAGCAGCTTGTGGCGCGACAAGTTCAGGGATGATATAACAATGCAGCTAGTTTGTTTATATGCTATATTATATTTTAATATATTTGTTATTTTCTCTGTATTTATGTATACTAATATACATAGGTACATGTATAAATATACCATTCTACATGTATATTAGAGGGCATCATAAGGACTGCCCGAGGAGAAATTCACAACGAGGGCAGGACAGCTAGGAAGGCCTAAGTGTACCTAGGTGAGCAGCCTGCCTAGGTGAGCAGCCTGCCTAGGTGAGCAGCCTGCCTAGGTAAGCAGCCTGCCTAGGTAAGCAGCCTGCCTAGGTAAGCAGCCTGCCTAGGTAAGCAGCCTGCCTAGGTAAGCAGCCTGCCTAGGTAAGCAGCCTGCCTAGGTAAGCAGCCTGCCTAGGTAAGCAGCCTGCCTAGGTAAGCAGCCTGCCTAGGTAAGCAGCCTGCCTAGGTAAGCAGCCTGCCTAGGTAAGCAGCCTGCCTAGGTAAGCAGCCTGCCTAGGTAAGCAGCCTGCCTAGGTAAGCAGCCTGCCTAGGTAAGCAGCCTGCCTAGGTAAGCAGCCTGCCTAGGTAAGCAGCCTGCCTAGGTAAGCAGCCTGCCTAGGTAAGCAGCCTGCCTAGGTAAGCAGCCTGCCTAGGTAAGCAGCCTGCCTAGGTAAGCAGCCTGCCTAGGTAAGCAGCCTGCCTAGGTAAGCAGCCTGCCTAGGTAAGCAGCCTGCCTAGGTAAGCAGCCTGCCTAGGTAAGCAGCCTGCCTAGGTAAGCAGCCTGCCTAGGTAAGCAGCCTGCCTAGGTAAGCAGCCTGCCTAGGTAAGCAGCCTGCCTAGGTAAGCAGCCTGCNCAGGCTGCTGGTACAGGCTGGAGAGTGTGGTGCCGGCCATGCTCTTATTCACCTCATCATCTCCAGGCTGCTGGTACAGGCTGGAGAGTGTGGTGCCCGCCATGCTCTTATTCACCTCATCATCTCCTGGCTGCTGGTACAGGCTGGAGAGTGTGGTGCCGGCCATGGAGTTCACATTTCCAATGCTGCGGTTGCTAAGCAGCCAGTCGCTGTTGCTGCGATGCCGCGGTGTGGACTGCTGGCTGCTGTAATAAACAAATTAATTACTTGCTTAGTATTAGAGCTTAATACTTATTCCTAGAGTATTAGCTTACTATTGTATGTGAGATAACTGCTGACTGTTGGCACACATTGATTTCCAACTCATTCTATTCATGTAGGTACATAAACTGCCATCAAAGCTATTCTTATCCACGGACGTAATGGGAGTTACTCTTACTGGATGAAAGGGTTCAAACTTCTCGGTTAAAGTCCCACTATAATATCCTAATGTGCACATAAAAGGCACCAGATGCTCCCAAAATTATTCTAATGAAGTTATCATAACGTGAATGTAAACGCACCAAGAAATAATAACCAGAATGATTTTTGAAAGTTAAACTAATCTGCTAAATGGCGCAAGGGAGAACCTCTCAACAAACTCTTGGCTAGAGTAACTCATGATACTTAGGCTTTCTGGGCAGCAGCAGTCAATGCTGTACAAAACTCTGCAGAGAAAACGTACAAGACTGCTTCTTTGATAGGTCACTCATTTCTTTAATACGTCACTCATTTCTTTATTTGGTCACTTATGTCTATATTAGGTTACTTATTTTTCCACAAAACATGTTCTTCATTCAAAACTGAACATTTTATTTGAGCCACATTATTAGCAGCAACTGATAGGATATCTAGTCACCCGTCTACAGGGTAAGGGATGAGGAGGTCACCTGTCAGGGATGAGGTACATGTAAGCCAGGCCCTGCTGCAGGAGGCTGTCCTCAGAGCTTGGGTCCTCCGGCAGCTTGTACAGCATGAACCTGATGATGAATGGCAAGCATTTGTTATCATTATCATTGCTAAGGTAGAGCATGAACCTGATGATGCATGGCAACCATTATTATCATTATCATTGCTAAGGTAGACCACAAAGCAAAAAGCAGTCAGCTAACACAAGCCAATCCTTTTAGCAAAGAACATGTCATTAGCTAGCGAGTAGCCATATTCCTGTCAACTATATATTTGTAGGAGTACCACCCAACATATATTGAACAAGAACATATGAGGATACCATCTAGAACACACAAAACATAAGGGCTTGATACCGTCTAGA